CACCGTCGAAGATGTCGAAGAGCGTCCAAGGCGAAATCAAAGTGTTGGGAGACTGAGTCGAAGTGCCGGGCGGGATGCAACTGCCAAAAAGAGGTGTATCGGGGCCCAGAGGGGCTTGGCGCCTATCACCGGCTTTGATCCGGACATTGTTGTATCCCCATCGGACGTCAAACTTCGTAAAGAGCGTAGCGCCACGGAGCTTATCCACCATCTCGGCGATCAGCGGCAAGGGATAACGATTTTTGATCGTGATCGCGTTCAATCGGCGGTAGTCCTGCATGGGTCGAAGTGTCCCTTCCTTCTTTTTAATGAAGAAAAAGGGGGACGAGATGGGCAACTTTGATTCCCGTATGTAGCCCTTTGCCAATTGCTCTTTGAGGAACTTGTCAAGCTCCTCCTGCTCATTGTTCGACAAGGGGTACACCTTTGAATGGAATGTGGAGTAGCCGGGTACGAGTTCGATCGCATGATCGTATGGCTTCCTTTTGGGTAACCATTCTGATGCTTCCTTGGAGAAGACATTCAGGAACTCGTGGTACTGTTTAGGTACCGACTCCTCAGCAGTCTTAATGACCTTCTTTTTGATCTCCTCCTCAGCAAACAGCTGGGAGTACGTATGCCCTGCTGCGACGAACAGCTGAGGAGCGCCAGGAAGCGTGATACCTTGCTCCCAGGCTTCGATCAAGTTGGCCTCATCCCACTCTACCTCCACTGGATCTTCTTCGGGTTCGAAGTCCGGGAGTACCTTACTCCGGCAGGCACCTATGACTGACCGTTTGGACTTCGGCGAACGCCTGCGCGCCGTGGGCCTGTCCCCTGTATCACGCGTAGTCGCTGCTTGTTCCATTTGGCCAGTCCTCCTGGTACTGCACGTTTCAGGGCATCGTGACAATTTGAGGGAGCCTTTTTCCCAATCGATTTCAGGGTTGTGCTCTCGCAGCCAATTCAACCCGACAATCACATCTTCTGGACCTATGTCCGTGACCGTGAACACTGTCTTCTTGACGTGATCTCCTATCTGCATTTGTAGCACGGCTACCTCCGAGATGCTTCCGTCTTTATTGAGCGTTCCATCGATATTGTAAAGCGGAATTGGCTCTTTCAATTTCCACGTTTGTACTCGATTCTCCGTGATGAAATGCTTGTTGATGAACTTTGTAGTGGCTCCGCTGTCCACCATTGCAATTATGTCCTTGTGCCGTCTTTCTCCTTTGAGGCGCACCGGGATGTGGAAATGCTGGGACCCGTGGTCTAATTTGTACACATTTGCAGTCGCCAATACATTGTACAGATTATTATTACGCGGCCCGACGCGTGCAGCACGAAGCGCGGACCGGATCAAAAACCCTCCTCCTTCATTGCCCGATAGTGTTCGAGCTCCTCATGCATCAACTTCATCTGTGCTATCAAGTCCGCCAGCTCGGAACTTTCCAATTTCGCTGAAGCGGCGCTTGTACTTGCTGAGGATGAAGCGACGGGGGCGCTTGTCGCCGCCTGGGTGGAACCCGAGGCAACCATAGCCTGCGCGTCGGCGCGTTTTGTGTAAGGCTTGTCCTTACAGTTGGGGCACTCGAAACGTCGGTACCCTTGTTTCCCACAGCCGAAGCATGTGCCTGGGAAGTTTCCTTTTCTGATGGCCGCATTGATGCTGGCCGAAGCTTCGTGCGACTGGGGTGCACCACCACATGCCCCTCCGCGTCCCCGGCCTCGTGCTGAGAAGAAGTTATTTAGCTCGGGCCGACGGGCCCGGCTGATGTCGAGGATTTGCTCGACCTCAGTGGCGCGCTTCTCAGTGTCTCTCCATGTGGTGAAGGTCTCGAGCTCAATCTTGCGATACACGCGGGAGGGGATGCCGCTCAGGTACTTGTCGCGTAGTTCCAGGTCCCCATACCCGGAACGGTCCGCCGGACCCTTGAACAGCGCAGAGAACTCCGCAGCAGTGTGTTTTTCGCGGACCGACTTGTCCGCACAGAGCTTCACCAGCTCTACTTGTGCTGCCGCCTCGTCGTCGAGATTTCCGAAGCGGGCCTTGAAGGCAGCGGTGAAGGCCGCTTCGTTCCCAAAGGGGGTTGTAACCCCTTGCACACCCATCTGCACCGACGCGAGTTGGGCGAAGTAAGGAGTGGCCCAAGCCCGGGCGTCGCCATCGAGCAGGCTCATTGCAACTTGCACCTTGAGCTCGATGGTCGTCAGCGACGTGTTGACCAACCAGTAGATGCACAGCTGCGACAGGAACCTGTCGCACTCGATGACGGTCTTGCCATCATAGCGAAGAGGGAGGAGGAGTTTCAGGGTCTCCTTGTCGGGGGCGGTCGCGGGGGAAGACATTATCGGTGTCGGGGGGGACGGAGGACGTTGCGGGGGCAGAGGCAGCTGTGGTGGCCCTCTGCTGGTCGAACTTCAAGAAGAGCGAGTGCTCGAGCGGCCTCTCGGTGGAGTCGGTGGTGAAGGTGCCGAAGGAAGTTCGGTGGGGGGGTCACGTACGTCAGGGACTGCTGACGCGGGGGCAAGCGCTGTCGGTGAGGTGGACCGAGCAGAATCCGCGGACTCGGGCTCCGAGACTCCTTCTTCACCCGCACCCTCCTCAGGCTCAGGCTCTGGCGCAGGGTCTGGAGGGAGATCTCCTCGTATTTGACTGGACTCGGTGACAGTTTGGGGAAGGCGGGAGGTAGGGGAGGCAGGGCGAGAGTGCTGTGAGGCAAATCGAGATGCAAGGGTGCTTCGGGGTCCGAGCGGGTGTTGCGCTCGTCGGATCGCTTTGTAGCATGGGTAGTCCTCTGCGATCGATCGGGGTGTTCGGTTCAGGCACGGCTGCTGCTCGCAACAGTAGATGACAGTCTCAGGGCCGTCTGGGATGTAGACGTCGATGAGGTCCTGAGAGTCAAATGTGTGGATCTGGCCTTGACAGGCAGCCACGATGGATGGGGAGAGGACGGGAAGGTGCGCGTACTACGAAAGGCCGTGCTAATCTAGCTTACACCTATGGCGCCCAAGAAGACACTAAGATTCGCAGTTCACGTAGGGCCCAATACTGCTTTTGACTATTATGCAGCAGGAACCAAGGCTATGCGTCCATGAGGACAAGTACCGCTCACTGGAGCGCAGGTACTGAAGAGTTCGTCTCTCTAGTGTTGGCGATGTATAGTAGGCTATCTACATATCGTAAGGTATAGTGAGGGTGCGCACCACCCGACCTATAGGAGAGGAAGTGAGTGTGTGGGTTCCGAAAGAATGCCGGCAGCAGTGAGGAGTTTCGACCTAATGTCACGACAGTGGAAACACAGACTTTGAAGGATGCTGGGGGCATTCGACTGGGTCTTACCGAAGCGATGGTGAGCAAGGCTCAAACCTAAGGCTAGGGACAAGAAAGTATATTAGTTAGTATAAGTAAGTAAGCAGATACATGAGAGCTTACTGACCTAGGGACAAGAGGTCGAAACTGAGGTCCCTAGGGCAGCAGAGGCCGGCTTATATACATGGGGAGATAAGGGCAGGCTGTGCGCGCTGGCCCGTGCGCAGCATGCTGACGCGGCCCCAGGGGCCGGTGAGTTAGAGAGGCTGTGTCAGCGGAGCCCAAGCTGTGCCGTGCACTGCCGCCCCATCTAATCTAATCATACAGTAGATAACAACGTGTCCATATCAGGCATGTAGTACAGAGGTCGTGGGTTCGAGCCCACGAAAGGGAAAAAATTAAAAAACGGCTAGGCGCTGTGCCAACTCGTGACACAGTGTCTGGGGCATATTGTGTGATGCTGATTAATGTTTGCAGGCATAATTAAGTAGTACTACTTGTATTCTTGTGCAACCAATGCACTTATTCTATTTTCACCTCGTGAGAACAACAAAAAGCATGTAGGGCAGCACAAGGCTGGAAAAAGAAACAGTCGCTCGATCTGGGGTCCTCGTGACCTCAAATATAAATGAATGCTATGAATGGTCAATTTGTGCACAGTCTGCGATAACATTATAAGGCAATACAAGACAACAGAAGGATGGTGTCAATTGGCCAGATGTTACAGCGGGCTAAAAAAGATAGGCATGAGCACCTCAAGCAACTATTCTCTCCGGCCGGTGATCCGAGATGCCATAGCCACAGCAGCCACAGCAGGTTCGACAATGTTCGGGAAACACAGGTGACATACTAGAACACATTGATTTGTACGTACTTTGCCGGCCACTGTACTACACTTCGTCGTAGAGCTCCCTGTCCGTCCCAGAACCGGTATGCCCATATATGGGGAATCAATACATACAATTATGTTGCTCGAGAGCACTTCAATCTTCTAGAGTCCAATACTTCTGCACTGCAGCCAGAAGTTACATCACACACGTTATACCAGTCAATCTCACAGGCAGACCCGATATGCGGGCTATCATGCGCGGCGCCTGCAAGAGACTGCCGACTGCTACTGTGCGGGAATCGTCCTGTTCAACCACGCTTCGGACACAGCCTGCTGACAGCTATAGTAATGTCAAGTTCGTTGAGGCGATACCGAGGAATCCATCGCGAAAGTTGTTGTATCGCGTTTTGAGAAAGCATGCGAGGGAGAAGGTGTACATGACACCTCGCTTGCGTTCGGAATACTGATGGTCAATGTATTAATTAGCGAGTTTCATCATGGCATTGTCACTGTCACTGGAGGCGATTAAGGTATCAACACTGCCTTACAGTAGTTGTGAAATGCATTGGCATCCACAGTCCGGCATGTCCTCGTGCACCAGCCCACAAGCTCCGTATATCATATTCTGTGAGTACCGTGACGGTTGAATGGTGTCTGCCTGTGATGGTCCCAGATCTACTACTGTGGACCTCAACCGAAACTGAACATCATGACTAAATAGACGCGCTCCTTTAGGATATTGTACGAAAGATAACAGTGGGGAAAAGAAGAAAGTCCGCATCATTATGATAAATAAACTTATTGCACGAATGAAAGAAAGTTGCTTTGCCCCATCAGGCTTCACTGTCATTGCTCGAAAAGCTCGCCAGGAGATTGCCATCACATGGATTCCCCCCAAGCAGCCTTGATTAGGTCAGCTGCTCTCTCCGCCACGGCGTAGATGCAAGCCTGAGGGTGCGCGGCTGGAATGTATGGCTATCCAACAACATATCAGTCAATGCAGAAGTTCATTGCCAAACTAATCTCATACCAGCACCGATGCATCAACTATCCTGAGGCCATCTGTGCCCTTGACAAGCAGGCTTGGTGTGACAACCCCTTCATTGCTGTCGTTCGCCGCCATCCGAGCGGTCCCAATTGGGTGGAACACAGTTGACGTAAAATTGCGCGCGTACTCAGCGATCTGCTCGTCTGTCTGCGCCGCGGAGAGGTACGACGTCTCTGATACCACGTAGCCATCCCATGCCGAGGCTGACAAGAAGCGGCGTGCCTGCTTGATGGCCTCGACCATGCTGTATAGATCGAGCGGGTTCGTGTAGAAGCCGGGATCGATTAGAGGGTCATCGAAAGGGTCGTCCGAGGCTAGGGTCACTGAGCCGCCTATATGTAATGTCTTGGAAGTCAGAGCAGACTAAGAACAAACACTACGATACGTACGGGACGCGGGAGAAACAACATTTGTGAGAATGGTTAGATAGTTTCCTGTCTCTGGTAAAGGTGCCACAAACGAGGCGTAGCCGTCCTAATGCAGACCATTGAGAGCTTTTAATAGCCGATGGCAGCGAGGGAAACGCACGGCTGGAATAAGCTCAATATGCGGAGAAGCAGGTCCCGCGGAAGGGTCTGTGACGTTCTTGAATACCTCTGTCTCGTTGGCCAGCCTCGTCCACGCAATCTGGTTTGTACCGTCGTCTACAAATACTCCCGTTCCAGTCGTGTTCCACTCTTGGAGTAATTCATCCGCGAGAGTCGCGTTGCGCGCGACGTTGTCGAGCGTAAAGCTCGTGTTGACAAGCCACTGATTGCTCAAGAGCGGGTGGTCGGTGAGGTGCTGGCCAACATTCGGCGAGTTGACGAGAGGCGTCACTCCCACGGACTCAAGGAGTGCGGGGTCCCCAATCCCGCTCAGCTGCAGAATCTGTGCCGTGCCAATGGTGCCAGCAGAGAGGATGACCTCTTTTGTCGCGCTGACAGTGTAACGCTCACCTGGATCCCATCAGTAAGTCCTGAACGCAACGTTGGAAATCGTACTGACTGGTCGAGCTCTGTGCCATCTCAACAGTCCTGAAAGACAGGGAGCCCCCAGTGGAGTTCTGCGAGACGAGCTTTGTGACTTGCGTCTGAATAAGGACATCTAAGTTGGAGCGAGAGAGGATCGGATCAAGATACGCCGTGGCAGAGCTGCTTCTCCGTCCCGAAGTTGACACCGCACCCACCGACCAGCCTGATACAAAACATGAGGGGATAATTGAGGTATCAGCATGCAGGCTCACCAAGGCCGAGAGGATATCCCGCATTGTAATCAATGTTGTATGGAAACTCATGCTGCAGCTCATGAGACGTCTCGATCACGCGTTGGTCGATCCCCGTCGAGTAGCCAGCCAGGCTGATTTGGACGGGACCGCTCGTGCCGTGAACAAGAGGGTCGACCTGCCCTGTTGTGTTGTGATGGTCGCTTGGCGGTACCAGGCTTTCGCTCTGAAATTGTATCTTCAGGGTCCCGTACGATGAGAAAACAGGTGTTCTTGCCTTCTTCATATATGGCAATATCTCATTCCAAGACCAGCCGGGGTCACCCGTGACATTCGCATATCGGTTGTAGTCGTCGACGGATCCTCGCGTCCATATCTGGAAGTCTGTCAAACGGCCGTCTGAGCTTGTGTTTCGCTAAATTCTGGAGAGCGCCTACTAATTGTACTGGAGCCGCCTAAGACACGGCCCCTTGGGTACGGCAAAGTGCGATCGTTCAGCCCTGATTGAGGGGTTGTGGTGTAATTCCAGGTCAATATTGTGTCCGGAGAGAGGGTGGAATCCAGGAATGGTACTTCATCGCTAGGATCAGCAAGGTTACTTCAGAGTAACATGTCAGCGACAGTCCCTCGATGGAGGGATTCCCTATTATCACCTAATACCAGCTTCGATGACTAAAACCGAGTTAGACGGGATCTCTGACAGCCTGTTTGCGATGACAAGTCCAGCAGTACCCGCTAATGGTGCATATTAACCAAGACCAGGTGAAGGGATTCCCGAGGAGCTCACCGCCCACAATGATAAAATCATATTGACTGGCACCCAGTTGACTAGGATTGGTGTAGAGCGCGCCGTTTACGAGGTGTGCCAGCACAATAGCAAGCAGGGAGAACAAAGCGGTCCCAGACCCCATGATGCGCAGAGCGTCTGTTAGGCTTTGAATGCTAAATGCTCGGGAGCCACGATGCATAACACAGCTGCGAAGAAGCACCGAACCTTATAATGGGATTTTCCATCTGCTAGATTGTGAGTTCGCCGCCCACCTCATGCTGCGGTACATCGGCTCGACCGTCAGTGCCTGGTCTGCAGGACGACGCCTAGGTGAGCAACGCGCCACATCCAACTTTAGCCGCACATGTCCTGATACCCTGCTGACCGGATCTCACGATGAGACATCCGGTGGGCGCAGACACTTGAGAACGCCCGGGTTTATGTGATTTCTTTGATCTTCGAGTAGAGGTTGGGATCCTTTCCTGTCGCAGGTGTACTTGCATATATGAAACGCGTGTCTCTAGGCTTAAAAGTGCCTAATCCGGACTACCGTCCGCAGAGCGTCAACATGGCGCAATAAGAGAAGTGCAAGAGCTGAATCAGGCACTCGCACCGGTTTCGAAGTGGGTACCCATCCAGTCTCCGGGGTCCCAGAACACGCTCCGTGCAGGGTTTTCCGTTCAGCCCATGAAACACTCTTCCACATCTTGCCCGCTGTTTTTCCGAAGTCAACGCTCGGTGCCTATATACCTCCTCATGATATCAGTGAAGATGAATGAATTCTCGAACATGTGCATGCCCGGATCATGTCTACTATACAATTTGACACATAATGTCTCACCAAATTATCATTGGAAGATGATACGGGTCCTTTCCGCGCTCTACGAACTTCAAGGCAGAAGCCCAGCCCACTATTTTCCAGACTAACGAAGTTCGGCATTTTACACACCCGTGGTAGCGAGGGGATCTCTAAATAACATGAGTGTCACAGTCCATAGACGTACTGAATAGGAAATTGAGGTTATCCAATGAAAGGGTCGCGTCTCACGTACATTCAGGTAGGGACCTTCCATCCACCTGCGAGACTCATCACATTGTCCGGGTCATACACCTGCTTCAGGTATGTGAGCGTCGGCAAAGCACTACCCCATATCTGAGACACAGGCGTGGTCTCAAAAGCATAGTTAGGATATGATGGTATGCCAGCATCGTCGACATTCGCCCCCTGCGCAGCAGCGGACTTCAGCCGTGCGGTAGTTTGTATGGCCGCATTCGCAAAGTCGTCGTCGTAGGCGGGATTTGACCAGATAAATATGACATTTGTCGGTTGGTAGCGCTGCGCACGGGTCCATGGATAGGCGGATGGGCCTCCGTGAGTGAGAATGTCTGGTAGGAATGGCTCGATGCCGTAAACAATCAGAAGTTCCGAATCGGAGACGAGTTGTTTACTCCAGTACTATAGAATGCCTATTTATTAGCGTGCTGTGCGATCGCGCAGAATGTACGCACTTCGGATTCAGCGACTACGGCATCCAAGAAGTCGGACGTCACATCCGCCAGGGGAACTGTGTCGAAATATCCGCTTCCGGAGTGCATGTTAGTCTGGAAATTTGGAAAAAAAAAGAGATTGTGCATTACCGAAAGGTCGCCGGCATCGCAGTTGTCACAGCTTGGACTAGCGATAGGAAGGAACGTGTTTGTACGTTACTCTCCAGAGATGGAATCGCCAGAAAGTCGTCAAATATTCTGTCTGGGGGAGTGGGGGCATCGTAGAATATGTCAACAGACGCGATGATCTAAGAGCAAAAGATACATTTGAGCAATCAACAAACAAGGGAAATCCGACGAAACTCGCGTTTCCCTCATCATAGCCATAGTACGTAATGATGGCGGCCTTTGGGTCGGTAACATTCGTGGTGAATGCTACCGTCGCGGCGCTGACATCTTTTATACTGCTGTTCGGGTAGATTATAGTGCCACCCTGCAGACATATCAGTATTTAACACCGGACTACAGACAGGTCTGCGTACCCAAACCTGACCCTGGGGATGTGTCTGAAGGGTGAATGCTGTAACGACGCCCTACAGATTGATTAGTTGAAGAGTGTCTCACTATGCAACCACGAAAAAGGGGAACATACAAAGTTGTTGTATCCACCCTTATGACGAGGTCAGCACAGGGCCTGATGAGCACTAGGTCCATGCCGCACCTTCAATCCGAAGAACAGGTCGGGGTCTGACGACTGAGTCACGTTTGTCACAGACCCATCCGGTAGCACTAGCTGGAACATCTGTATGGTGTCAAGTACCAGGCCGTACTGATTTGTTAGCCAGGAGTAGCCTCCAGTTTGTTCAGATCAAAAGCGCCTGCGGTCGGTATGCAATGTACACACCTCCGCCGAGCGCCAGGCCCGCGACGCCGACGCCGCTGTTTCTACCGCCCACCACGTTGACATTGTATCGATCAAGTGCCGAATACACGTCATCCCAGACGAGACCAGCACCGATCGTGGCCGTTTGACTAGATGGGTCGTAATCGACATGTCTAAATCTGCTCATGGAGATCTGCACCCCCGTCGTAGACGAGAACCCAGGGTTCATGATATGGCCGCCGCCCTTGATCTATAACGTATAGTGTTAGTCTGGTGAGTCTGGTGTCTGAATGAGCCTTGTAGAAGCATACTGCAAATGGCGTCCGGTTTTCTCCTAGGATTTGGAGCTATGTGAAAGATGTGATTAGCAGTGTATGACCACGAACGAAGGTACGCAGAGATCGTACAATTATTCCTACGTCCTCCGAGGTTCCTGGCTCGACAGAGCAAGTAGCGTTCTGCGTGCTCGAACTAGCATAGTGCGATATGTCTGCCTCGTACTGTGGACTCGCTGGAGGGTACCGCTGAGCACACGTTTCCTACAAAGCCGAAGGTACATACCAGGATAATAAACGGATGATGCGGAGGATACCGCATTAGCAATTCCTTGACACGTAGATATAGTGCTTCTGCTGTACGCCGAACTTGTCTCAACCGCGGTTACGAGTGTCGCGGCGACACCCAGGAAGGCAAGGACCGCCACGAGATGGCACATGTCGAAGGCGAGACAAGACCAAGGTCAACGAGAGGACCCGGCGGGCGTAATTGAACACCGTTAGCAGTACTTTCTTCACGTAAGAGTTGGTCGCCGAGGGGTGAGATTCCATCTTAAGTATCTGCTCTGCGCAGCAGAGCAGTATGACCTGAACGGCGTACGTGTCCTATCATATGAATCTGTCGCTTTCAAACGAATGATTGAATCATGGGCGTTGGAAGGAAGGAAGACTGACGCACACCTGGAGTTCGAGCTTTGTAGAAGTAGTGTTGACAACAGCGGCTGTTCTATAGTGCCTGTAATTTCGAGAACCCGACAAGGAGAACGGAAAGAAGAGACATCACGGCGTGTGCAGTGGCATGATGAGAAATGAGGCGGATGATACTGGTACCTCGACAGCTAATCTATCAAAGAACCTCCGAAACCGTCAGCCGCAGAGGTTCATCGTCATTGCATCGAGCGTAACACGGTACAGCTACATCGGTTCGAAGGCCACTAAATGCTTTGACGTAAGAGTCTGGACAAGGTGCAGAATATAGTCCACTTGTAGATCGTGTCGGCAAAGCAGCTGGTCAACGACTACTGCTGAGCTATTAGACGCTGAAGACTGTCACATTTGTATCTGGGGTACCGGTGGCACCCCCCTTCCAGGCCAGACCGAGCATTGCAGATGATCTTTGCAACCTCCGCCCGTTCTTCGCTGGAACTTGGATCAAACGATCGTTCTGCTTATCTCATTCATTCCCGCTCCCATTGGTCACTTGGAAGTTGGTAACACGGTCTAACCGTCTATCCTTTTCTACCACGCGGCACGGACCGACATAACGGATTTAGTTCGAAGTCCGATCTTGCATTCCCAAACCATCCAGATCCTGCGGAATTGCATTTACACAGGCGGCGCTGAGATTGAGTTCAACCCGGGTTCATCAAACAGCACGCTCAACCCAGGATGGACCGGGTTTTTCCCCGAATTGGCACCGCCGGGTCTTTTCTGATTCAGCCTGGCATTGGGTAAAACCTGGCACCCGGTGACCTGCGCCACGACAGGTTCAGTGGACGGGCCGGACAATGCCGCTATTCCGCGAGCACCCCATAATTCCCATAAAATAATTCAAATAAATAATATATATATTATCCTGTATTCTACGGACATTCGACAGCAGCGCAAACCAATAGCTACTAGCTACATATAGGAAGTGTGTTCAGTATGTCAGTAGGTCAGTATGTCAGTAGGTCAGTATGTCAGTAAGTCAGTAAGTTCGGACGTCAGTAGGTTGGGACGTCAGTATTGTCAGTATATGATTAGTGCGTCGCTATTGTCAGTGGTATGTCAGTCTTGTC